TTTTTTTTTATTTGTTTGTTTTTATTTCAAACGAACTTTGATTGCGAAAATAAATAAATACTAGTGAAAAGAAGGGGAAAGAAAAAAAAACAGTGCGAGAAAAACAAAGTGCCCCGTGTGAGGATCGAACTCACGACCTTCAGATATCTAATATCAGATTATGAGACTGACGCGCTGCCTACTGCGCTAACGAGGCACACATATTAGACTTAGATCAAAATTAAAGATTTAAATGCAGTAACTACGCACGCGTCGCAGGTTGAGTTCCGAGACAAATACGGTAAATATGTTTATTTTCAAATGCCTCCTAAGAAGAATCAGCTGCCAACACAGGTTATTGAGACGAAAATACCGTTAAATATTTACATTTGGCCAAAAAAGAAGTTTTTGCTCTCTATATGTCTTTTTTAACCTTTAATCGTTTCTTCCTTCTGTCCTTGACAACCAAACGTGTAATGATTTTAAAGTTGATTAAATTTTATTTTCATTCGTGACAAATGTTTCACTAATAAACTGACAATTTAAACTTAATCCACCTCCTTCGATGGAAAGAACCCTTGTAAGGTACACAAAAAATTATTTCTTTTACAAGATTCAGTTATCAGTTTTTTTTATTTACGAAGCAGTAACAGTCATCTTTTTCTTGAAGATCAGATAACAATAGTTTAGTTCTTTCCAGGCGAATTTCCATGTTTAAGGGTAACCTTTAATTTGCCGTCTCCTTTAATTTTACTGCCGCGTTCTCTGGTACTCGTTGATGTTTTCAAACCTAAAGTCCTTGTAATATTCCTTCCCATCTCTAAAGAATCCCACCTCGTCTCCGTATGAAACCTTGTGCCGGCATCCTTCACCTTTGCAGATCTTCCACAACTGGGACAAACTAGACAAAATTAAACCGTTTCCCTCCTGATAAAGACTTCATGGTGAGTTTTTTTAAAGTTACAATTGAGCTCATCGCCTAAAAATTACTCCTATGATAATAAAGAAATAACTTACTAAGAAGTGTAACAAACTGGCGGGAAACCGATCAATGCTGCAGATTTACATTTCAAATTAGCTCAAATTATTTCCAAAAGCGCACGCTGGCTATGATAATTTATTCATCACAGGGTCAGCTTGCCATTACCTTCGTGGAGTTCTTGCTCCGTTTATGCTGCGAAACATAGAGAGTTTTGCCACGCAAAGCTTATAAAAAAAGAAAGTTACGATGTTATGAAGACAAGGCAAATACGCTTCCTAAACAAGAGGTGATATTTTGGACCGAAACAGCGATATGTTCAACCTGTACTGATGATTTAGCGCACACAGATTCTGCACGTGTTTAATCCTGGAGGTTCAGTCCGACTTGTTCTGTCATTCTTCTGCTGTCAAGTCTTTGTGGAATACTTTCAAGTTGGTGGCAACTTTTATCACCACTATCGTATAAGTTTAACAATTAGTTTTGTCAAGACTTTTTTCAATCTTTACCTTGAATATAGGCATAATCTTTTTTATGGTTATACGAAAAGTTACAAGCACTCGATCACTAAAATGTTTGCGGGACATTTCATTTTCCTCAAGGCGAACATGATCTAAATTTCGTTTTACGACTTACTCTGGGTAACGTAAAATTTAAAGTCGAGATTCCTCTCACAAGTTCGCAGCCCCTATTATTTAAACCATAAATTCTAGACTCACGAGTGAACAATCAGTGTTTAATACAAGTATAATTTGCGTGCTCATTATTTTGGGGCTCACTGTGTTTAATTTATATTTCAATGTTTTTCTTTGCACTTTAGGCCTGCTATGCAAGAGGATCGAAAGAAATGGCTGAATTGTCACAAGTACTTAGTTCTGATAGGTTTTCGAATTCACGTGCCGCATAAACCAAAGATCTGTCGAACAGGTGAGCATAATTGTATAGACTAGTTAGTTCAAGTGTGTTCGTTTGTTGTGGTTTTTAAACTTTTGTTTGTCAGCGTTATTCTTGTTGTCTATAACAAATAGGACACTGCTGATTTTAGTCATTACGCTTATTTTCCGTTTGTTGTTTTTTTCCTTTTCAAGGTAAATCAAAGTTTGCAAAGAAACCTCCAGTTGTTACTTGATAACTCAACATCGCGCTTGAGCAACAGGGTTATAGATGTTATTTTATGGTAGGCGTTTCAAGAAATGTTTTTGTTTGTGCTTGTCGAAGTATAGCCAAGAGACGACGATCCACCTCATTTTCTCTTGGCATGGCTAGATACACTTTTATAAGAATGCATGTTAGCGTAAACAAGATTCAAATCACGCTACAGCTTCACGTGAAACGTGACAGCCTGTTTACGACGACAAAATTTTCTCCCTGGTTAGATGGCTTCCCTCGATACAGATTCTTCCCCCTCCCCCACTGCCCCCGGCGAGAAAGCTTTTTACACATTTCCATATAAATAGCAGCGAACTGTTTACACGAGAGTCTCGAGGTTGGTTCGAGGGGAGGGCCAACTACCTCCAAGAGAAACCTCCATGTAATCTTACTCTCCTGATTTTTGCTTCACCTACCAGGGACAAACTTGGACACGTAGAGAATATGCGAGACTGAGGTACAGGGGCAATTTTTTGTCTCTTTTCTATATTATTGTTCCGAAAAAAATGTTAACTACGTTATTAGACAACAGTGATGGAGAGAACTATTCAGCAGCAATTAATTTTAATTTTTACTAGTATCAGGACTGATCCATTATCATCATGGTCTTCATGGTAAGTTTACAAGCTTTTTTTTACATTGTTTAACCTTATTATCTCGATTATGCATTCCTATGTGAATATTCAGGACTGAACACCAGCTTTCTCTCTATTATACAAGAAATTTTTGGTGAGAACCTGGGGTAAATTTGTTTTGCATTCATTCTGGTTTCGTTGAGAGAGGCTCGAGTTTACAGATCTTTATATATTTAAAATTTCATGATTCTGTGGGCCCCTTGTTCGAGAAGGGGCACTTATTTAATCCTTGTTGATGTTGAATCGTGGAAAGACGGTTTATGTCATTATGAATCTACTTCGATGCTAGCCTGTGTAGCAGGCGTTTCCGAAAAAAGCACGCGAAGCGAACGAAACTGCGAGCGAGTGCGAAAAATAAGTTTTTGCTCACCCCAAGCATGCTCTTTCGCTCGTCTGCTTGCTCGCTCGCTCGTTCGATCTCTCCGCCTGGAAAAGGAAAGGAAACGGCTGCTACGCATGCAGGCTACTTCGATGCGCTCTCGCCTGTTTGAATATTTTTTCCAAGCACCAAAGTCGATCTAGTAACAAATTGTAGTATTGATATTGCAAGAATAAGGTATTGAGCACTTTTACAAAGATATATCTGAGGAAATCTAGAACTCAAGTGGCTATATTTTTTAATTTTTTTTTTTTTGGAGGGGGGTTGGGGGGAATCCATCGCAAGATCAATAGCGAGTGGTAACTCCTTTTTTAACATTAAAATCATCGATGACCTTGAATGGTGTCGAGACTCTCCTGATCATAGATTAGCTCAGTGTTAACTCGAAGATTTAAAGAACCCGTAAAAGTGTTATATTTTTCTTCAGGGAAAGTAGATTTGTTCAGGTGTAATAGGCGATGCACATTATTACGTTTTGGAAGGCACAAGAAAGAAAAACTTCTTTTCTCTTTGTAACTTATAATATTTGATTCACGCCTTTCAAAAATACTATGAAGTGTGCAGATAAATCAAAAACCACTGCCAAAAGATGCAAAATCCATGCGACTTGGCCAGAATTTTTGGGCAAAAAATTATTGATCTCTATTTATTCATTTTACTAGGAACATATGTGCACGCTGATCTTGCAAAATCTCACGAGGCAGCAAAACGCATTGGAGGAGAAATTGGATTTGTAATGAGCTTGTCAGTTTTTGACATCGTGTTTTCAAAAGCAGCTAGCTGCTAACTGGAGCCTTTCTTTTCATTTACACTGCTAAACAAGAACTACTAAAAGAGCGTTTCAATTTGCTAAAGATTTCCTGAAAGGCCCTGTTCGCACTAAGACGAAAATTTGAGTTTAGCGTTTGCAAAAAAACTGAAAATTTTGTAATCACCAATTTTTTGTTTTCGTAATCCTGTTCGCACATGAAGATGCTAATTTTTTTTAGTGACGGATGTCAGTTAGTAATTTGATCAATTTACCATAAAGATGTCGTGACATGTCTTAAAGGGGAAGGTTTCATACTTGGCGTTTTTTCTCTTTGTTCCCTTTTTCGTGTTTTCTGTGCTTCCAGTAGCTGCAACAGTCGTCTGATCTTCAGTGGATGTTACGGATGTGGATGCTGTGTTCAGCGGATGTAGATGTATTGTGAATCCGCTCGAGTTTGCTGCGATGGAAACTCAGTGTAAGAAGTACTGCTGTTGCGTAGCGATTTGGGAATCGTAATAACTTTGATTAC